GATGGAGGGGTGTCACGTGGATAGGTTTAGCGCGGCGGAGACAGATTTTCCTTCTTTTTTTTCATAGGGCGCGCGGGAAGACTGTGTCGAATCGTCGTATCGTTTTTCACCGACTGTTCTCGCTTACCTGCTTCAACAACTCGTTGAGAAAGCTGTAAGTGCTCCAAATCCAGCCTCATCGGCACGACTTACCATCCGCAGCGAACAAGAGTGTAGCAAGTACGGCGGTCAGAACGAAGGATAGCTCAACAAATATGAAAACAGTTTGGCTCACTTCCGTTGTGATGAAAAATTCATCTGAATGAGGATATTCATGGTTTTCCTTTTCAGCACCACAAAAGCTGCTGCAAAACCTACTGCTCCAGAAGCACCATCAAAGCCACCTAGACCAATGAAAATGCAAGGTAATCTTTGGAGGCTGAATTATCTTTCAGTGCTAAAAGGATTGTGGAAGCGGGGCGACGGTCAAGCTGCTTCTTTGCACCACAGCACCTAGAAAACGGCGGCTCCTTGGATCAACGAGCTTTGCCACCAGAAAGGCCAGCACCTAGCCAGCCGTGCGACCCTTCCGTTCCCCCTTCCACCAAGTCCCTTAGCACCAAAATTTCTATAATATTCTCAGGCAAGAGAATTATCAAGACTCTTGCCAATTGTAAAACGATCATCTTGGATTTCACCTTTTCTCTTACAGGTCCTCATCAAAATTCGGCTAAATCTGCTCCAAAACCCGTGAATCCCGTGAAATCCTCGACGAAAGCCGTTCCTAAGAAAACGGGCCCACCTCAGACAGATGTGCCCAAGAAACCTGCGCCCGATGCTGAAGAGCCAAAAGAAGCACCACAAGTCCAGGAACAAGAAGAGAAGCAACCACAGCCACCAGCTAGGCCAAAATTGGTGAAACAACCTTCAAAGGCTACTTCCAAAAAGCCTCCAGTGATGCCCGTTGTTCAACAGAGTGAACCAGCTCCCGCTCCACTGAAGGAAGAAGCGAATAACGCTGATCGTGAGCGCCTACCCGTTCCAAAGGTAATCGATTACTCTTGCAGCTGTATAACTGGTTATGTAAAATTTCGAGTTGCGGGGGCGTGGCGACAGTTGGAAGTTCTTGTTCACCGCGGTTGCCGGGACGTGCCAGAGGGGTGGGGGTGCATGGAGCGTGGGACTCGGTCCGGCAGGCCCCAGCACGAACTTTCTTATCGGATTGTTTGTCCCAACATGCCTCTTCAAAATTAAAAGAGAACGAGCAGGCGCCGTGCCAAACCTGCTCCCACCCCCTGACACGCCCCAACACTCGCGTGAGCAAGACTGTATTCACATCGCCACACATGCGAAGCCCCATTTAGCTGCGCGGTAGTACAGATCTGTCTTGCACTAGCAAAGCTAGAAACCTTTGCTACTTTAGGTTTCTTCGAGACAGTCCAGTAGCAACAAGTTGCAGTTGACTCCTGCCGACAAAAGTCTTGATGTTGTAAAAAGCCCTGAGACAGGTGAGGTATTTGAACTGCACGGGGTCCTTTGTGATTTTCTGACTGACAACAGCAGATTATGTGCGCGTCGATCAGTACAGCCGAAAAAACACGCAAAGCGTGGAATGAAACCAGGATCGTGAAGTAGGACTAGGGGGAGCCGCAATATTGGAATGACTGGATGACAACAGCAGGACATCATTGCTGGTGGGGATTTTTGTCGAGTCTGTACGCCCCCTCCCTTTTTTTTGTAAAAATACGACTCCCTATTGGGGATTCCCCAACAACGATGTGCCCTGCCACACAGCCGTGCGATACGCTTTCCAAATTACTCATCCAGTAAACCAGTGAATTCGTGCCACTCTTCAGCCTTTAACGCTGACTTCTGAGCTGCTGCTTCTAATACATGACGCCTCCTAATGATGAACTAGGGAACATGTGTAGATCAGTGGCTCGGCCCAGTTTTGCCAACTGAAACGCAAGCACGACATTGGCAAAACGATCTATAGACCCATGTCGGAAGTGGGGAGCATTTTCTATGGCGAATACCAGAACCGCCGCCGTTCTTCTGAACTCTAGCCAGAAAACAAGCCAGGCAGGCGTCCTGTCTCAGTTGCAGTCCATATCCTCCGCTGTGATCAATCTATCCAAAGGGTGGGTTTGTTGCACCAGAGGCCTGGGGCCGGAAATGCGCACACAAATGCACAGTGAAATAATATCGACTGCGGGACCTATTCAGGTGGTGTCGGTCAATCACGAGCATTTTTTCCTTATTCGATTTCACATTATTTTTTCACGATGTTTATCCTGAAGGAAGTTTTTTAAGCTGCCACTACTACCCCTCAGCCAAAAGCTGAGAACAAGGGAGAGAAGCCAACCAGCGGAAAGACTTCGGTCAAGCCGAGTGTGAAGTCGACTACTGTTGCGAGCAAAACGAATGCGAAAAATCCCGTACCTGTTAAAAGTGAGTTCCTATGAAACTTTCTGTAATAGTGGAGAAGTGAAATGGGAATCAAGTGTAGAAAATGCGTATAGTTAACGACTCTGCTTCGTTTCTTCGTTCCAATTTAATTTTGAAGATTACCATTTACGTCCGGCAAAGTCCTTTCCAGCCCTCTCCCAGCCTAGCTTTCAACTTTCTGCACTCCTACCGGCCCAGGACAGTTCTTATCGGAGGGGATAAGGGGCGTTTCCAGGGACGTAGCTGCCAGCGGCGCCGGCTGCGAGTCTCCAATGGTTGAGGTCTTCCGGTTGTTCCGCTAGCGTTGCTACCGCTCTGTTCATTTTGACAGCTGCACAACGACCCCCCCCCCCCTCCCCGCCCCTACGAACAGCTCTTCTGGCAACTTCCTTGCATTTGCAGGCAGCATCCCGTGGGGTCGCATCCACTATCTTGAGCGTCAACTTGCCATCGTACATTGTGCCTAAGTGTTTGACCCTAATGAGCTTTGCTCTCTTTGCGACTTTCCGGAGTATTCATTTTTTGAATAAATTTTA